CATGCTTTATCTCACCGTCAAAGTCAGGATACCATCTGTAAAATTGTTACAGATAATTCTGTCACAGTTTACGTCTGATTTCCAAAGGTTTAACACAACATCGGCGTTATTAGAGAAATGGTCGATTGAGCTTTTTGTAACCGTACACATGTGCATATTATGAATGTGGTCAACTATATATAATTCTATAATAATTCTGATATACTATTTTATATGATTTAAATTGGACGGTCACATAACAACTCTAAAAGTAAGTAGTAATTTTTCTTTATAACGAAAATGTGATGAGACTAATGATAGTAATAAATTATTATTTAAGTAGTTAAGGTAAAGAAAATGTCAATGTTAAAGTGTACATTTTTTTAGCGTTAATGAAGTAGCAAAACAAAATGTTTGTATCTTGGGTTGATACTGTTTTTCATATAGGTAACACCAATAAAAGCAGGTTGTTACTTATTAAATTTACTAATTAATTTGGGATCTACTTAATTAAAAAAATAAGTTATTTTAAAAACTATTTATATTCAGCACGTGTTTTATTTTTTTTTTTTGCAAATATTAGATGTTTTACTTTCTAACCAATATATTTATTCTTTTATATTTTTTATTTTTTTTTAACTTCCTGTAAAATGAAAATGTTTTCACGTTTTGAAGGTCTCTGAACATTTTGGCATATATTACAATTAGAAAATATGGGTGTGAGTGTGCGAATCAACCGATTTGAACGATTCAAAAAACATTCGGTTCCTATTGATGAGAAGGCGTGCTGATTCGAAGCCGTTTCGAAGATATGGGGCAAAAAGTGCTAAAAACGGTAAATCAGTTTTTGAGAGAACGGAGTACCCGATTTGAATGATTCAAAAAAGATTTACTTGTATTGACGAAATGAAAAATTGATAAAAATTTTAGTAAGGCAGGTCTAGCGGCTTTGGAGATACAGAGAAAAAGGTAAAAAAAAATGATATTTGGCGGTCAAAAATGATCATTTGATCATTGATCTGTCATCTGATATTTGATCAAATTTTTAAAAATGAGTATTAATTGTGTTACAATTTTGTCGGGTTCCGTACCAAAATTGTTAATTTTTTTAAAGTTTATTATATGGTTCAAGCAAATTTCAAAATTTTCAGAAAAATTTTTTTTTTCAAAATTTTAAAAAATATACAAAGTTTAATACTTCAAATATGAATTTTAAATTTACAACTCAGTTTGAAAATGTATATATTCTAAATGCATTATTCTTATTGTAAGAAATTTCTCAGATGGATTTATTCGGCACCTATTTCTAATGTAAACTTTCTCAAGTGTTTTGAGCGATGAAATCGTCACTGTATATTTTATGAACGATAAAATATATAGTGCTTATAATTATCTATTTGAAAATATTTAAAACAATTGTTATTAATTATTGATCAATATTTATTGATCTGGTAAGGAAAGTTTCAGCAATTTGCCTTAAGGTGCGACGCCATGCACCACTATAGTTAATTATTATAAAGAAAAAACCATACTGAAAAGTTCACATTCAATGTATTGATGACATTATTAAAAAAATTACATTTAAACAATTTCAAAATTCCAAAAACTAACAAAAAATAAAAAGTTTACAAAACAATTCAGAAAATCCCCGTAGACATTTTCAAGCGTAGATTACATTTGGCTTATATAATAGGAAGATGCAAAATTTATGTTAGTTATGCCAGTTGTTAGCTTTATTTATTAAATAGGTTAGAAGTGCTGGTATGCTATTATTGCTTGAGGCAAATTGCCGGAAATTTGCTTCTATAAACCAATATAAACTAAACGCTATATGATTTATTAAATAGATTTAAAGTGCTGGTATGGTATCATTCATTGAGGCCAGTTGCTGGAAATATGTTTCTACAAATCAATATAAAATAAATGAATAATTTATGCGTTTTTTGAGTTCTGATCTTGCTTAAAAAATATGGATTTTTTAAAAAAAAATTTCTTCAAGCATAATCGAAAATGTATTGTTAATACGTTTATAATCAAATCCTTCATTAACTAAAAAGCTTTTATAGATGGGTTTTATAGCACGAAACCCAGAATACGGGGAATTGTATTAAAAATAACTAGTGGTATATGGCATCGTGCCTTAAGGCAAATTGCTGGAACTTCCCGCACCGTTATGAAATATTCGAGGAATAGTAAATGCTTTCTAATAGATCATTATAAATACTGTAACTTATATAAGTTTACAGAAAAGTAAATAAACAAAACTCAATAAATCAAAATGAAGGACTAATTAATATTTATAAGAATTATATAAACTGAATATCAAAGTTAAAGCAGAATTAGAATTAAAATTAAAATCCGAATTATTTTCGATATTCAGAAAATCGTCGACAAAAAAAATTTTATTCGCTCACACGCACACACATACATGCGTTTTTTTTTCGAAGGTATGCCAGAATGTTAAGAAATCTTTGAAACGTAAAGATATATAATAATTTTCATTGTCGATTTTTCTTTAACGACTCTTCTTTTTTATGTGTAGACTATATTTATTAGATATGTACACCTAAGAGCATTGTCGTATGTATGTGAAGCATCAATGCCTAAGAAGGGCGATTTTCAGTTGAGATTATATTTGTGATCTATAATTTCCAGTGGAAATTCGATATAATACTGCTTGATATCATAGCCGATTGAAGTTGGAAGTGAACCCGAGATTAGTTTGTCCCAGCTTGCGTTCTCAATCTTTACCATTACCCCACAAAAGGGCTTATAACAAGTTCTATAAATGTTAATGCTTTTCCTAATATTTTAATATTAATTTTTATTGTCAACCTAGTGCCCTTTAATTCCCGATACTATAGAGCAGAATGTATACCAAAGTTAATTTTTCTAGCTACTATTCAGAGGTAACAAGGACCCTTCAACGATAAACAATCAATCAACTGAACTAATTTCACGTACATATTATAAAGCATTGAATCATATAAAAAACTTTTTATCAATTAATAAGTCTACACACGTGTCCTTCAGTGAACCAGTTTTTAACTAGATATTTTACAATGTAGTTTATGAATATTATATACAATTATTTAAGTTGTAAATATTTTAACAATTAATTGTTATAATTGAAAATATGAAGTAATAATGGCACTTTTTTCTAGTGTTGCTAGGTCATAATTTTTTCAAAAATAATTTATCACATCAGTCACTAAGGTTTTCTGCAACTTAAAATTTTCTAAATATTTACATTGCGATTTGTGATTCAAAAGCACCACTTGTTAATTCTCTTTTGTCTATTTATAGTCTTATCAGTCAGTAGATTAAGTTTTTTGGAGGTTTTCGAATTATATATCTTCTATTTATTTTAGATATCTATAATGCAAATAGCACAAAATACATAAACAAATTTTGCTTCTTAAGTTAAACGGGTGAATTTAATTTAAGATTTTTCATTATTTATTGGTAATGGGCCGAAAATCGAAAATAAAAATATTAGCATATCTTCACATTTCAGAGGTTTCTGATTATTTTGGCATACCTCAGAAAAAATGGATGTGTGTTTTGTGTGTCTGCATTATTTCGTTCACGTTTTCTGGCGCACGGATCAACTGATTTGAATTATTCAAATTTTGCATTTGATTCCTATTGATAGGGAGAAGTGCTGATTAGTTTTTGGCAAAGGCAGGTCCAGTCCTTTCGGAGATATCAAACTTAGAGTGGTGAAAATCTAAATCTAGTTTTTGAGAGACCGGAGTATCCAATTTGATTAATAATTAAAAAGATTAACGAAGAAGTGGTGGCTAGTTTTTGGTAAAGGCAGGTCCAGCTATTTCGAAGATACAGAGATAAATGTACAAAAAGTGGCAGTTTTTGAGAGAACTAAGCATCTGATTTGAATGATTCAAAAAACTTTCTGCTTATTTTAACAAATTTTTTTCCAAAAAAATTTTTTTTTGAATATCGAAAATAATTCAGATTTTAATTTTAATTCTGGCTACAGTTCTAAAACTCAGTTAATATAATTTTATATAATTTCTATAAATATTAGACAATGTAACAGTATTTATAATAATCTATTTGAAATCATTTTATATTCCTCGAACATTTCGTTACGCTGCGGGTAGTTTCAGCAATTTGCCTTAAGGCACGATGCCATACACTACTAGTTTTTGTTTTTAGTTTATTACCCGCGTATGTTTAAAGTTTTTGCTTTTAACTTAGATTTATAGTGTGAATATGTATATATGAAATATATAGATAATAAAGAAAGAAAGTTATAAAAATTTCAACAAATTGAGAATGATACTTTTGATATCCTTGTGTTTTAAGATCTTCTGATCATTTTCGCATACATTGAAAAGTGTTGGAATATTTCATGCGTGCGTGTAGTATGTATTGTATGTGTTTTCATCTAAACCTGCTACTTAGTTGCGAGAAGGGTTAAAACGTTCTGTAGTTTTGTCGAAAAATGTTGAAAATATGTATTTAACATACGCACATTTAATTATTTTACAGATACTTTTAAAAAGTGCTTAAAATGCTTTTTACTAATTGTAAGTTGTGAATTGAGTATTTATTACAATGCTGTAAGTACATTTACTCTAAGCAAATCATGTAAAACTTAGTTAGAAATTTATTGACTAGTTTGAAAAGATATTTGGTTTATTCCGTACCAATGCAAGACATTCTACTCGTATATAGTTAAAATTGAAATTGAATGTTTTGTGAAATGTATCTAATCCATTAATACATAAATTCATACAAGCATACACGCAAACATACACACTAATGTATGCATTAATTGTTAGGTGTGCCATGATCAGGGAATATAAAGAATAAAGATGTATCATTTTCAATATTTTGGTGATATCAACAATCTCTTTTACAAGAAATTAAATCATTATTTCATTAAATACATTTTTATTGTTCGTATTTTAGTGGAAAAGAAGGAGAAGAAACAAAAGAAACCATTTTCGCGAACACTCAAAGATGTTATATATAGAAGAGTTCATATACTGTCCTGGTTACCGTCATATGACCGGGAAGCCGCGGTTTCGGACATGATAGCTGGTATCACTATAGGCTTAACGCTGATACCTCAGAGCATTGCATACGCGGCCCTGGCTGGCCTTACTGCCCAGTATGGACTTTACTCGGCATTTATGGGTATGCATATATACTTTTTTATTTACATATGTATTTCAGTCTAACAGCTTAGAAATACACATTACCTAATACCTTAAGCCTGCATTAACTTAATCTAACACTTTTTATTAAGAGGAACAAAACATTTTATTGAAGACCCAATAAACTTAACGTTCTAGACTGGCTCCACAGTTAACTCCTTCTTTTTAACTTCCCGTAGGGTAAGTTATTGTAATGGGCCGAAAATCGGAATTGAAAATTTTTACATTTCTCGACGTTTTGAAGGTTTCTGAACGTTTTGCCATACCTCAGAAAAAATGGATGTGTGTGTGTGTGTGTGTATGTATGTGTGGATACAAGTTTCCAGTCACGTTTTAGGGCGCACGGATCAACCGATTTGAATGGTTCAAAAAACATTCGATTCCTATTGATAAGGAAAAGAGCTGATTAGTTTTTGGCAAAGGCAGGTCCAGCCGTTTCGGAGACACGGAGCAAAGAGTGCAGAAAATAGAAATCGAATTTTTGAGAGAACGGAGTATCCGATTTGAATGATCTAAAAAACATTCAATTAGTAATGATTGGGAGAAGTTATTAGTTTTTGGCAAAGGCAGGCCCAGCCATTTTGAAGATACGGAGCTAAATATGTGAAAAATGGCAGTTTTTGAGAGAACTAAGCGTCCGATTTAAATGATTCAAAAAACTTTCTGCTTGTCTTAACAAAATAATTTATTTTGGAAAAAAAAATTTGTTTCATTTTTTTTTTTTTTTTTAGTTTTTTGTATATCGAAAATATTTCAGATTTTATTTTATTATTTTATATTAGACAATGATACAATATTTATAATAATCTATTTGAAAACATTCAGTATTCAACGGGAAGTTCCAGCAATTTGCCTTAAGGCACGATGCCTTAATTGCCTTAAGACAGAATTCCACTTACAGCTAGTTATCTTTTTATTCGGTCAATTGTTTTCAACCAGTCTAGAATTCTCTTATCACTCTTAGCGCCGAAAATATCTTCTGCTGCAGACTTGTTCTATCCAGCACCGCGCATCTTTCTCTCCGGTGTTATACTGTGGCCTTCTCCTGCCCTGAGGCCAGAAGAATCCAGTCCTCGCTACTACTCTCTGATCGCAACTCCAGCCTTTGAAGTACTCCGGCAGTTCTTTTGTTCTATCGCTCCATACTTTCTATTGTATCTAGATCTTTCCAATGTTCAATGTTCAATTCAATTTTCCAATGTGTTCCCAAATTTGATCTGAACAATACTTGCAGTACTAGAAGAAAAAACGATAGGCTTTCGAATAACACTAATAAGAAAGTAGTCGAACGAAACGCACTACCCGAAAACATTAATTGAAAATTTATTTTATCCTTTTTAGCTAATAAGAAATGATTATTTGGCATCAATTGTTCTACATTATATGGTCTAAGCCAATGTGAGTAGAATTACGTAATTTTTTTTCGATATCTTTTATGGTTACGCCAAAAAGTGAGTTTGAAAAAGGGGTCACTTTGGCATATTTTCAATGATATCTCGGCCAGAGGTCAGTTATAAAGTTGAAGATTGGTATATCGGATTTTTTTAAGAAAATCTTCAAAATGGCGTATAAATTATTTATATATCAGGGTGGGGCCAATTATGTATGGCAACGCGCCCATACATAATTGGTCCCATACCCCCCTTGTGCGTCGTGACTATTATGTACTCGACTGACAGATCCTTGCAACTGTCAGAATATTCTGGCTGTTTACATATACTTTCTGAACAGTTAAAAGAATACACCCTCAAAATTTGAGCCATTTGGGAGCAGGTTATAGAAACTTTTTTTTTGACATTTTCAAAAATTTAAGGGATGATGACGCAACCGTCATGTGCTGGCCAGAATGGTACTTTCTTAATGGACCGATAATAAAATATCATTTAAGGGGGTTGTTCTTTTTACGTTACAAAAAATGCAAGGTATTTGTTTTTGTTTTTTCTCGAAATGTATTTATCATAGAGACATGCGGTTTTTTTCAAACAAAAATTACAAAATCATAGAATATTACGTGATTTTCTTCTTTTCTTTTTGCGCCGTCATTTTTTAACCAGGGGGCGCCAAAGTCGGTCTTGCAAAATCGATCTCTTTTGCGGTGCCACAGATAAATCCGTTGCGCATCGCCCGAAACAAAAAAAAAAGAAATTACGTTAAAGAAGAAGTTTGTTTCCAGTCCCCCTACCAAAATAAAAGAAAAAAAGCAAGAAGGAAAAAAATGGCAGCTATTTAAAAAAAAGTGTCAAAAAAGGCCATTTTTTGGGGCGAGAAGCTTCGCAAAATTTTTTTGCGTAATGTTATCAAGTTGTTTGAGGTAGGGGGACTCGGTATTGCAGTGGTGAACAAATTAAAAAAAAATGCAAGTCGATCCGACTTGTAGTTTTTGTTTAATTGTGGCACCGCATTGAAAAAAGTCAATTTGAGAAAAACGTATTTAAAGTTCTTAATATAATGTAAGGAATACACCATTTAATTTAATGTACTAAATACACCATGGTGTTCAAAGATGCTGACACATTAAAAAGGTCATGTGCATGAGGTATTATAATGAAAAAGAGGAATCTGGCATACAATAGCTCGCGGAGCGATAAAAAAAACGCTTTCAGAGGATCATACATATAGAGATATATATATCTATAACTTTGTCAAAAAAGTAGATATTGAGATGATTTTTTTTTTTAAATGATTCTAAGGGTTTTATCTTTCATAATATCAAAAAATCTCAAAACCGAAACAAAGAAAAATAAAAAAAGAACAACCCCCTTAAAACATTTCTAGTTAGTGTTTGTTTTCTTTGTGAAAACAAGTTAATCAAATAGCTCGCTGGCTCGTTGACTAATTGTTTTTTAACTTAACAATGACAATATTATGTATATATATATCTACGTCTATATATATTTTAGGTGCATTTTTATACGTCATCTTTGGTACCATTAAAGAAGTATCTTTAGGACCAACAAGTTTAGTTGCTCTGATGGTTTTGGAATATTGTCATGAAAAACCAGTCGAATATGTAGTTTTACTAGGCTTTTTAGCTGGTTGCATTGAACTTATGATGGGATTACTGAAACTTGGTAAGTATTGTTTTTTAAATATTATTTGTAGTAAATTTTTAATTCATATTATCACTAATTCATTATCTTGTAATATTGAAATTAACAACAAATTTAATTCACATTATTTTAGTAATTTAAATGATTTATTATTTCAAATTTCAGAATGAAAATTGATATATTAACTATATATGTAATTCTTCTTACTTGATTTCTTCAAATCTTATTTAGTATAGTTTATTATTGCAAGTTTATAAATTGTACTTTTATTATTAATTATATTATTAATAAATTGTTAAAAATTTGAATTGTTTCTAATAATTCAATTCGAAGATTATTTAAAATTAGTGAAAATTTGTATTTATTACTTATGTAATTTTTTTACTCAACAGGATTTTTAGTCGATTTCATAAGTGCCCCAATCGTTTCGGGTTTTACATCCGCGATGTCGTTAATAATTATTTGTGCGCAGGCAAAAGGTTTGCTAGGGCTGCATTATACAGGACATGGATTTGTGGATACATTGATGCAGCTAATACAAAGGATATCAAATGCGAGATTAGCTGATTCTATACTTGCCTTATGCTGTATAGTTTTTCTTTTAACATTAAGGGTAAGATATTATGAACAAAATACACGCACATACATATATGTATATATATATATATATATATATATATATATATATATATATATATATTTCAAAGTAACTAGCAGCCCATTCGTCGAAATAAAAAAGGTATAAAGTGTAAATACTTTTATTTATACGTTTCGACACAAGATGCGTGTCATCATTCAGCAACTACAACAATTTGAAAATTTTATTACTAATATAAACAACAATATAGATTAATTGTAGCATAGAGAAACATTATACACACCACTGGACAAAAACACTCAACAAAAATTTATTTTAAAAAATTAAACTTAATAACATATTAGAGAAAAATTTTTTTAGAAAAAATTATGAATAACTAAAAGATTTGAAACTAATTTGACTAAAAGTTATAAAATACATAATTGTGAGACGAGAAACACGCCCATACCGAGCATCCAGACTCGACTGAGGCGTATTGATAGGAATGGGAGGGGACGCATCAAGGACAAAATTCTCGAAGCACGAAAAACGCCTCGAACAAACAGTGCTTGAACTGGAATGATCAAAAGGAAAAAAAAACCATGTAAACGTTAGAACAAAAAAAACAATATTGTAAAAATAATAAAAAGAGATAAGCAAATTAATTTTATGTTTTTTTAATAAAATCAATAACAATCTGATAACTATCATGTAAAAGGTGGGATGAATTGCGTTTATTAACACAAGAGGAGGAATTTAATGAAATAAAAAAGGATTCAGCAAATTTTCTAAGGTCACTATTTTTTTCGATATAAAGGATAACCGGATGGGAAGTGTTAAAAGTGTGATTGAAATTGAGCATATGATCTGAAAACATCGTTTTGAATTGGTTTGGATTTTTTGAATTATAAATATGTTGATTAACTCTCTTATAAATATACTGGGAACTTTCTCCAATATAACACAAGTTGCAATCATTGCAATCCAACCTGTAAACAGAATCGGTGACCCTATCAGACGGGGTTCTAGACTTAAGAACCGAAAAAAGGCAATTAAACGTATTATCAAAACTAAAAACTAATCGGAATCCTTCTGAAGAAAATAACTTTTTTAAAAAATACGAAAAATTGCTTAAAAAAGGTAAACAGATAGTTCCTTTGTATTGGGCGGAAGAGGAAGCTATTGAATTTGAACAAGAAGGTGAAAATGAATTATTAGAATTAGTTTGCAAATAAATTAATCTATTATTAATGATGTTGTTGACCAAGTGCGAAGGGTAACTATTGTCTTTGAGAACGGAACGAATAAGAGTCAAATTTTTTTCCCAAAACATACTGTTATTTAGTAAAATAGCCCTGTCTATAAGAGAGATAATGACAGAAATTTTAATGGAACGCGAATGAAAGGACAAATAATTTAAATATCTTCCTGACCACGTTGGTTTCTGATACCAATCAGTCAGGACAGAATTGTTTACTTTATTTTAGTGATTCTTAAGTCTAAAAACTAATAGAGTCATCCGACTCATACTCACAGGTGAACTGCAAATGTTTGTTAAAGGAATTATGATTGATTATATTATGATATTATGATATTATGAATTATGATATGATGAAATTGAGCATATGATCTGAAAACATCGTTTTGAATTGGTTTGGATTTTTTGAATTATAAATATGTTGATTAACTCTCTTATAAATATACCGGGAACTTTCTCCAATATAACACAAGTTGCAATCATTGCAATCCAACCTGTAAACAGAATCGGTGACCCTATCAGACGGGGTTCTAGACTTAAGAACCGAAAAAAGGCAATTAAAACGTATTATCAAACTAAAAACTAATCGGAATCCTTCTGAAGAAAATAACTTTTTTAAAAAATACGAAAAATTGCTTAAAAAAGGTAAACAGATAGTTCCTTGTATTGGGCGGAAGAGGAAGCTATTGAATTTGAACAAGAAGGTGAAAATGAATTATTAGAATTAGTTTGCAAATAAATTAATCTATTATTAATGATGTTGTTGACCAAGTGCGAAGGGTAACTATTGTCTTTGAGAACGGAACGAATAAGAGTCAAATTTTTTTCCCAAAACATACTGTTACTTAGTAAAATAGCCCTGTCTATAAGAGAGATAATGACAGAAATTTTAATGGAACGCGAATGAAAGGACAAATAATTTAAATATCTTCCTGACCACGTTGGTTTCTGATACCAATCAGTCAGGACAGAATTGTTTACTTTATTTTTAGTGATTCTTAAGTCTAAAAAACTAATAGAGTCATCCGACTCATACTCACAGGTGAACTGCAAATGATACCAGGGTGACTGCACACCGAATGATACCAGGGTGACGGTTCTGTTCAGGATAATTTTTTGCAAAGAATAGAAAAAAGGTAGGCACAAAATACCGCCACATTACAATTTTTTTGAAAGGACGAAGTCTGTCGGGCCGGCTAGTTACTAATATAAACAACAATATAGATTAATTATAGCATAGAGAAACATTATACACACCACAGGACAAAAACACTCAACAAAAATTTATTTTAAAAATTAAACTTAACATATTAGAAAAACATTTTTTTAGAAAAAATATGAATAACTAAAAGATTTGAAACTAATTTGACTAAAAGTTTATAAATACATAATTGTGAGACGAGAAACACGCCCACACCGAGCATCCAGACTCGACTGAGGCGTATTGATAGGAATGGGAGGGGACGCATCAAGGACAAAATTCTCGAAGCACGAAAAACGCCTCGAACAAACAGTGCTTGAACTGGAATTGATCAAAAGGAAAAGAAAACCATGTAAACGTTAGAACAAGAAAAAACAATATTGTAAAAAATAATAAAAAGAGATAAGCAAATTAATTTTATGTTTTTTTAATAAAATCAATAACAATCTGATAACTATCATGTAAAAGGTGGGATGAATTGCGTTTATTAACACAAGAGAGGAATTTAATGAAATAAAAAAGGATTCAGCAAATTTTCTAAGGTCACTATTTTTTCGATATAAAGGATAACCGGATGGGAAGTGTTAAAAGTGTGATTGAAATTGCATTTAATCGCATTTATAATTCAACCTCTTTTAATCGTATTCTAGATGATAATTTCCTCAAGAAGGTACTAGGACTGTCGATTTCCTGAAATTCATAGAAGAGCTGTTGACAGTGTAAATGAAACAGCCTCCAGTTCTGCCAGTGACTATAAACCTCTAGGGCCTAGGTCTAGGCAGTGCTCTTACAGATAAGTCTAAGCATTTAGTATTTTGGAAGGAAGCTAAACATGTCTCAAAAAGCATATGCTTTTATAAGAAAGACAAGAGAGTTAAACATCAACACAACCAAAACACCACCAACTATTCAAATTTTTTTTAGAACATTGGTTTCGAATATATTTGACAGAAAATAAAGTGTCCGGAAATTAAATTTTTGTAAACTCGTAATTTTAATTAAATTACGAGTTGACAAAATGAAAAAATGAAAAAAAAAATGTATTTTTTTTTTGGTAGTATTAGAAGTCACGGGGTTAATAATCGCAAACCTTCTTGCAGTGCTTTCATTGGATCCTACAAAAGCCTTGTTGTCAATAAGTTTCATTCCGTCCATTCTAGCCACATTGCTCGATCAACGCTTTAAAAACTTGCATTTTAAAAACACCAATGCTGCCTCAAATGCAATACATGCATTGAAAAATCAAATATGTATGAACAATTCTACTACGTTAAAGAATAATTCTACTAAGTTTAGATATTGATGCCACGCCAGACAGTTTCGACTTTTGGCAGTTACATAAGAAATTGCGCCAGAGAAAAAGGAAATAAAAGACGTGATGAAATAGATTTATATCTAAATAAACCAGTCACGCCTATAGCAAGCAACACTATAGAATCATGGAAAGATATGAGGAAAATTGTTCCCAATTTATAGAATTAATTTCGAGTATAGGCCACCATTATTAAGTTATAGCAGGAGTTTCGGATAATAAAATTATCATCAGTATTCAAAGTGCAGCATATGAGAAAATTTTACCATTGAGGGCTCAATAATTACCAAGAAAGATGTTCGAAATATCAAGTGCAAAGCAGTGCTACCATACCCTACCCATATAGATAATAATAATAATAAAACGTAGAACATGATACTAGAAGAAGATGATCTTTTTGTGGTCGTAATGACTATATTGCAAGCTACTATTTTAAATGAATATAGACATGATAAAACATGCATAGATGGATCTCATGGTGCAAATTCTTATTGATTTAACCTGCATACTCTTCTTGTGATTGATGTGTTTGGGGTAGGTTATCCCGCAGCATTTTGTTTCACCAATCGGCAAGACAAAACTGTATTTAAATTATTTTTTGAGAAAATTTGTAGTTCAATAGTAGTAAAGTAAAAAAAGTTGCCACCTTAACTTTTATGCCTGATGATGCACACGCATATTACAATGCATGGTATCTGTCATGACTTCAACAAACAACCATTTACTTTGTTCATGGCATGTATGAAGAAGCTGGAATAGGGCATTTAATGCAAAAGTTAAAAATACTCAAAAGCATACAATCGCTTTCAACACCAAATTCATAATTCGTGCAACACTATGTGAGAGTGATTTTTGAACTATGTTTATAGAAAGTTATCAATATCAATAAATTAAAGAGCATGTTTTTACTACGCAAATGCTGCAGGCCGCTGGTCAAAGCAGTATTTTAAACGTTGAAAAGAATGCGTTTCACCAGAGAAACCAAAAAAAATATGTATACCGGTAACATCAGTTCCGTCGGAGCGCCTTTTACGAAGGCTGGCATGATAACAAAATAGAAATGGCTCTTCGAAACACCCATATTAATTGTACGTCGCTGAAACATTCAACTGTAATAGGCAAACATATATTCGAGTGCACTAGCATGCTTATGTTTCAAGAATTATAACTTTTTTAACTTCCCGAAGGAGAAGTTTATGTTTTCATCAAAAAATCCGAATCGCTAATTTTATGTTTTCTCGACGTTTCGAGCCATTCTGAATCGAATGAGACCAAATTTGGAAAAAGTATGTGTGTGTGTGTGTGTGTGTGTGTGTGTATGTGTGTGTGTGTGTGTGTGTGAACAGATTTTTTGTCGTAAATCGACGTTTTCTCCAAAACGGTTGGACCGATTTCAAAAATTTAAAAGCCATTTGATGTATCTCGATGAGGACTATCGTCTCTGAGTTTTGTGCGGCGATCGGCCGGGCCGTTTCTTTGTAAATTGCAGAAAAGTGAAAAATTTTTCGTCCACGTTTTAGCCCGCAATTCTGAATCGATTCTGAAAATTCAAAAACCGTTCGATAGATATTGGTTGGGAATCGTGCTGATTAGTTTTTGGTAAAGATCGGCCGGGCCGTTTTCTTGTAATAAAGTTTTTAAAAAAAAAATTTTGACGATTTTTATGATTATTTTTTTGACGATAGATACCATAGTTTTCTAGGTCATACTAAAATATTACGGCCCTACGACAACTGGTTTAGCTTTAAAAATTCGTCAAAGTTTGCAAAAATCAGTATGGTCTTTTTGCATTTGTCAAAATTAGACTTTTGATCGACGTTTTCTCAAAAACGCCTGAACCGATTTTAGAAATTTAAAAGCCATTTGATGTATTTCGGTGAGGACTATCGTTTGTCAGTTTTGTGCAACGATCTACCAAGCCGTTTCTTTGTAATTTGAAAAAAAGTGTTGAACTTTCGTCCACATTTAAGCTCATCCTACCGAACCGAATTAAAAAAATCAAAAACTGTTCGAAAGATATTAGTTGGGAATGATGCTGATTAATTTTAGGTGAAAATCTACCGAGCCGTTTTCTTGTAATTAACTGTTGAAAAAAAGTGTTAAATTTTCGTCCACATTAAGCTCATCCTACCGAACCGATTTTAAAAAATCAAAACTGTTCGAAAGATATCATTTGGGAATGATGTTGATTAATTTTAGGTGAAAATCTACCGAGCCGTTTTCTTGTAATTAACTGTTGAAAAAAAGTGTTAAATTTTCGTCCACATTTAAGCTCATCCTACCGAACCGATTTTGAAAAATTAAAAACTGTTCGAAAGATATCATTTGGGAATGATGCTGATTAATTTTAGGTGAAAATCTACCGAGCCGTTTTCTTGTAATTAAATGTTGAAAAAAAGTGTTAAATTTTCGTCCACATTTAAGCTCATCCTACCGAACCGATTTTGAAAAATCAAAAACTGTTCGAAAGATATCATTTGGGAATGATGCTGATTAATTTTAGGTGAAAATCTACCGAGCCGTTTTCTTGTAATTAAATGTTGAAAAAAAGTGTTAAATTTTCGTCCACATTTAAGCTCATCCTACCGAACCGATTTTGAAAAATCAAAAACTGTTCGAAAGATATCATTTGGGAATGATGCTGATTAATTTCAGGTGAAAATCTACCGAGCCGTTTTCTTGTAATTAAATGTTGAAAAAAAGTGTTAAATTTTCGTCCACATTTAAGCTCATCCTACCGAACCGATTTTGAAAAATCAAAAACTGTTCGAAAGATATCATTTGGGAATGATGCTGATTAATTTTAGGTGAAAATCTACCGAGCCGTTTTCTTGTAATTAAATGTTGAAAAAAAGTGTTAAATTTTCGTCCACATTTAAGCTCATCCTACCGAACCGATTTTGAAAAATCAAAAACTGTTCGAAAGATATCTTCCGGGAATGATGCTGATTAATTTTAGGTGAAAATCTACCGAGCCGTTTTCTTGTAATTAACTGTTAAAAAAAAATTTAAGCCGTTTTTCATGGAACTTTTTTTGACGATATACATCATGGTCTTATAGAACTTACTGTAATATTACGGCCTTACAACAAGTAGTTTAATTTTGAAAATTCGTCAAACTTTGCTAAAATTATTATCGTTTTTTTTAAAGTAGGATTGATGAAGTATATTATTTACACATTTTTTTGATCAAGTTGATTATTTACACATATCGGGAAGTTCATGTAATTTGCCTCAAGGCTAAATACCAAACCAACTAGTTTGATAAATTAGTCGCGGGCCTGCCAGTGTTTATTTGGCACAGTTTTCACATATCTTATTAATAACTGAATTAGTAATGAATATTAATAAATAACTATGAATATAAAGTAATAATGTTGTGTTTATATTGGGTCGTCATAGTGTGAAAGTTGTTTTTTTTTTGATGAATTAGTCGCGGGTCTGCCAGCCAGTGTTTATTTGGCACATTTTTTACATTTATCTTATTAATAACTAAATTAGTGATGAATATTAATAAATAACTATGAATATAAAGTAATAATGTTGTGTTTTATATTGGGTCGACATAATGAAAGTAGTGTTTTTTTGATAAATTAGTCGCGGCCGGATTGCCAGTTTATTTGGCACATTTTTATATTTATATTATTAATAACTGAATTAGTGACGAATATAATAAATAACTATGAATATAAAGTAATAATGTTGTGTTTGATATTAGTTCGGCAACGTTTTCGAATGATAGAATGGAATATATCAAATGTAAAATTATAAAACAAAGCACTGTGTGAAATGTCTTCTATCATATTTATCTTGTTAAATTGATTTAATAAACTGTTTACGACTTGCAGGCAATCGCGTTGGGCATTTGGTACTCTTCCTCTTGGAAGCATGGTGGGTAAAATGATGCGAGCACTCGGAAGCAATTCTTTAATAATGCTCAACATTAATAATTCCTTCATAAATTGCGTGCGGTTGCTATGTTTCGTTGTTGTTTGTTCTGCCAATATAACCACAATTTTTGTAATCAATCAGATTTGATATATTCGCCGTTTTTTTAAACGATAAAGAACATTTTCCACTTTATCGCCTCCAATTCCAAAATTTGCAGTTTGAAATGTTTGAAACTTGTCCCAACTGGATGCCTCTCCAAGTTGCTATAAGGAGTTTCCTGTGAGGATAATATTGTGGTAATTCTTCGCCAATTTAAATTATTTAAATGTTTTTGACGCCACGTGTTACTTGCCCTTGCAGTAGGGATGGCGCATTTGTTAACATTTCCCCACTCATAGTGAATACGGAACAATCGCACATCTTGTTAAACGGTATGAAATTGTCGCGTGAATAATAATATTTTCGTAGATTGCTGTATTTTTGTTTAAAGAAGAAATTATTGGATTTATAAGTAGATGCAGATAACCACAAATAGTTTTGGTATAATAAAAATTGCGTCTACGTTTTGACCCGCTATTCTCAATTGATTATGAAAATTGAAAAACTGTTCGAAAGATATTTGTTCGAAATGATACTGATTAGTTTTATATTACAGTGATTAATGCAATTACATGATTTCCTTCAAAAGACTTGATGTTTGTTCACGTTTATAATCTTTTAATATGTACCACGAACATCCGCTGTATTAAATTCATAGCCCAACAATAACGATTATGTTTGTATTAATAGATCCTTTTTGAGGCCAAACTTCTGAGGTTTTTCCAAGATTATCGGGCAATCGC